CGAGGCAGATTTTATCCCGCAGTAGGTTGCCATTTCTTTCTGCGGTAGACCAGTTGCCATCCAAGGCTATAGAACACGGTCTGTCCTGCTATTTACCCATAGCTGGGGGGAGGGGGAGAGAATAAGAAGAGGATTCCTACCTACCCCAAGGGTATTAGCACGTAAGTGAATGTAATGGATTCGACTGGACAGTCAGTCAGTCAGTTATGTGCCATCCGTGATACACACTTAGGCGATCATGTATCTTTCGATACATGACTGACGAGGCGGATTATTTTTTTGCAATTGTCTAAACATTTTGTATATGGGAATCAGTCAGTTATGTGCCATGTGTGATACACGCGTAAGCGATCATGTATCTTTCGATACATGACTGACGAGGCTGATTATTTTTTCCCGCAATAGGTTGCCATTTCTTTCTGTGGAAGACTAGTTCACATTCCAGGCTATAGAACCCGGTCTGTCCTGCTAGTTACACATAGCTGGGGTAGAAGAGGATTCATACCTTTCCCAAGGGCATTAGCGCGTAAGTGAATGTAATTGATTCCACTGAAAAGTCAGTCAGTCAGTTATGTGCCATGCATGATACACGCTTAGGGAATCGTGTATCGAAAGATACATGACTGACGAGGCAGATTATTTTTTTGCAATTGTCTAAAGATTTTGTATATGGGAATCAGTCAGTTATGTGCCATGCGTGATACACGCTTAGGCGATCATGTATCTTTCGATACATGACTGACGAGGCGGATTATTTTTTCCCGTAGTAGGTTGCCATTTCTTTCTGCGGTACACCAGTTGCCATCCAAGGCTATAGAACCCGGTCTGTCTTGCTATTTACCCATAGCTGGGGAAAGAAGAAGAGGATTCTTACATTTTTTCCTCTTCAATATAAGTCAGTTTTGCCATATTGCTTTCTCCCCTAAACATTGTTCTGCCAAACATTTCGATAAGATCGTTTGGTAGTTTATGCGTTGACTTCCTCTGTCACCTCTTTCTTTCAAAATATCTTGTGAGTGTCAAATCGAGTCTTTTTAAAAAAAAATCTATTTCACTCCAAACAAGGCGATAAAGCCTCTAGGACGCAAGGGGTTACTAGGTGTGTAAATACAAAGGAACATTTTTGATGATTAAATTTGGTTGGAAAGCACTTAGCCAGAAAAAAGTCCCACAATCGAGAAGTGCGAGAAAAGAAACAGCACCAAAACCCACGGTTACATCTAGCCAACTCAACTCAATATATCGCCGCCAATGCAGTACTGCGTTAAAATTCATAAAGGTTTGCTACAATAGCGAAGGGCGATATTTATTTCCACTTCAAATACAGAAAATGTGACACAAAGCCAAAAATGGGGAATGAGGAAAAAGGACAGTCTTCTTCTGTCTTAACATTAAAGTTAGCTAGCCACAAACACTGACCCAAACATACCACACTATTTCTAAAACGAAAACAACACATAATTACCTTTCTTACTACATTCACTGTAATACCTCATTGTCTCTATGAAAATCTTAACTAGCCCCCATATATACAATTCATTGTCTACCATAGCGAAGAGCTCATCCAAACAATTAGCATGAAAGTATTTATAGAAAAGGCACAGAGAGGCAGCTTTACGGCCGTGGGAAAGTGACTGAAGCCGAGGCGCCAGTTCAAGACTAATAAAATTGCAGATTCTTCGTTGGATTTTTTCAAGGATTTCTATATATATATGGCAGGAGCACCAGACTATACGTGGCAGCAATATTCTAAACATAGGCAAATGGTAGACTTATAGTTAGGTAAAATAGTTTCAAGAGGGAAAAATGTCCAGTACGACGCCCATCGAGCCAACTTCCGTAGCAGCTGAAATGCAGGCAATATTGTCTTTCCACTTCATCTCGCCCGAGAACGTTAACCAGCGAAGGCGCAACGAGTCGCTCTCCTGCAGGTTAGTATCACCCATACAGATGGAGAGCAGAAAGGGGTCCGTCAGAGGATCGATAAAGAACAGTTTTGTTTTGGGGGCGTTCAAATTAACAAGCCATCATTTGCCGCAGTTAACATGAGAGTGAAGGTCGCTTTTGACGCCAGACGCCGATTTTGAACTTATTGGACCGATCAGTCTTAGTATCGAGGTAGGAGTCAATATCTATATCATCAGTATAGATAACTAGTTGAGAACCAATGCCATCGAGAAGGTCTTTGATGAAAATTATGTTATTTAAACTGTTAGTTTGTATTCTCATGGAACCTTTAATTCATATATTGACCCAGTAATTCTCACCACTAGATGTATGTCTATCGTTTTTATTTGTCTTTTTCCCGGCCTACGGAGTCGGTAAATTGTAGTCAAGCGCCCCCTTTTTTTTATGGAAGTACGTATTTGAGATGACGGTAGTTCTCATGGTAAAAGGAGAAGTTAATCGATTCAAGAATATCATAATATCCTCTAGGTATTTACTCTGTCTCCCTACTAAGACAAGTTGTGACACAAGGTCAGTTTTTAAGGTGGGGGAACCCGAGCGCGTACACCTGGGCAAGGAACAAAAATTATCCACAGCCCCGCCCCCCGCAACCGTCGTCGGTTGCGCTGGCCTCGGTGCCAGCACCGATTCCTTTGTCTGGTGCAATAAGAGTGCGCAGCCTCGGGCAGCTGTTCCCCAGGGTTGGGCACCTCTCAGTATCATTTTTCTCAGTTGCGACTCTGTTCTTTGACAGGGCCGCCCTTGAGCGCACTCTGCCCACGGAACTAAGAGATGATAAATAATGTGTTACACACTACTCATGAGAGTGATTTACGCACTTATCCTAATATCCTCTAATCATCAGAAAGAACCATTTTTGCCCGCCATCAGTATGGCTGATGCTATCCACCTTCTTGGGCTAATATTCTCGGCTGACTTAAATACTGCTGCCATATCTAGTCTGGTGCGCCTGATATACATCTCAAAATTCACAAGAATATTCAAAGAAGGGTCTCCAATGTTATAGGTACTAACTTGACATCCCGATTGCATTAACCTTCCCACTGCCCTTTCGTATCCTCCAATTGCCTTTTCTAAAATAATTTCGTGGTGATTGTTCTCTTGAGCGCCTCTCCTCAATACCTTGACCGCAGTTTAAGAAACTAGGTTTCACCGTTCTACTAGTGAAATAGTAAGTTATATTTTGATATTTTTGTCTTGCACTTCTGTTGTGGAGTGATTTCGCAGTGGAGGCTTGTATTTGCACTAAGTCGGTCCTAAAATAGGTTCGACGTACAAAACATTAGGAACTTGATATAATAGGTATTACGCAGAGTAATCTAGTTGTGGTCGCTGCTACTTTAGTATTCGACTAACTGTCGTCCGACATCGACTCACTGACCGACTGACTGACCGACTCCCTCGTTACTCTTACTACTCCTACTTATTATAGGTGGAAGAGTCTATTGACTATAGGATAGGTGTGTTCCACTATAACAACTTGATACAGTTTTTTGTGTATATGACATGTAACTAGTGAGTTAGTCAAAATGACTTAACTCCCTTTATAGTCTATCAATAGAAGGTTAACCAATCAGAAGCCACAGAACATTGTATCCGTCGTGTATAAAGGAGGCCATTTTTGTTTACCCTACCCGAATGACCAGTGTCAACTTGTCCGGCGAAGATGACAGAAGGAAGAACTACGCTTTCCTACTTTGCTCCGAAATATTCACTGCTAACATCTGGATTCTATACTCGAAACGAACGTCAAAATGTCTAACACAACTTCCCATCTGTGGAACTCCCTTCCAATTCCGTGCTTCCCTGATAACTACAATCTTAAAAACTTTAAATACAACGTCAATCGCAATCTTCTGCCTTTCTGAAAATTGTTCTTTTGTTGCCCTTTCTCCTAACTAAACTTTTTTTTCATTCTCTTTTATTCTTAGTAACCCTTAGCGTCTTAGTGGCATTATCGCCTTTATTGGAATGGAAACAAAGCAAAACAAAAACCGACTGGATTTTTTCTTCTGTCGAGTGGAAAATTAAAGCACAAGAAGCATGAAGGAACATCGGATGCCGCGTAAACTTGAAGGCCGAAGCATATATCGGCGAAATTATTATTAAAAACAACAAAGATAGAGATAATTGCTTCTAGTTTATGTTTCTCATTTTGCGATTACCTTCATTTTTTATTCTTAACCCGGAAACAAATCTACGCAATTGTCACAAACACAAACGAGAAAGACGGAGTTATGTTAAATAATAAACTAATACCGCCATTTTTTTTTAAAGTTATTTATTAGACTTGCAGGCTGTCAGATGTTATTTCTCCTCTTTAAAAAATATTTCGCTTTGTCATTTTTTTACTTTTCTTTGTCGGTTCGCACGTGTGCATGTGTCCATTTTGCCTTGTTTGATTTCGCTGCTTCTACCTCTCCCTCATCCCGACTCTCCCCGTATCCCGACTCTCCCTACATCCCGACTCTCCCTACATCCAAACTCACCATTAAGCCTTACTCTCTTTTTCTATTCGCTTTTTTTTTTCTAATTCCCTCTTTGGTATCATTCTATTTCAAGAGCTCCTAACCTGGAAATGTGTTTCCCAGATAAACGCGAAAGCGCTGCATTGTTTGAGGAAAGAAAAAGGAAGACAAAAACTCCTTTCCCCACACCAGACCGTTATTATTGCTGCTATTATTATCATTATTATTTTTATTCAATTCGAAATCTTCCTTCCAACCTAACCTAAACCCGAAACAAGCAACACGAAGCACAGTTCTATCATTTACCACCCCACCGACTCTTTCCTTGACAGCCACCTCTTAGACAACCCCACCCCTCTACTTGGTAGCCCTTCTCAATCCTCCGTATTCTTCCCTACGCCAGTACATTCTAATGCCTGATCATTGATTTGGAAAAATGAGTCATGAATTGATTACGACGTCGGTGAGTTTGCGTTTCTGGCGATGAAAGGACTGGGTGTGTTGGTGTCTGTGATCGTGGATCGGTATCCAGAAAGATGCGTAGGACCGTGTGGAACATCAGTTTTAGAGATAGCTGTCTGAGAAATGGCGAGAGAATGCGAAAAAAGAGACGAGAAAACAGAGGGAAATAAAGCGAGAGTATGACGATGAAAGAAATGGGGAAAAAGGGAAGGAAGGAAAAAGAGGATTGTGGAAAGAGATATGAAGAAGAATGCAAGAAAGAGGGTTAATGGAGAAAGGGAAAAGAAAGGAAAGAGGGAATAGAAGAGAGAGACTTGACTCGCAGAATGAGAAATGAAGAAAGAGAAAGAGAGAAAAGACTAGATAGAAGAAAGAGACTTGAATCGCAGAATGAGGAATGAGAAAGAGAAAGAGAGGAAAGATGGAATAGAAGAAAAATCTTGGCTCGGAGGAAGAGAAATGAAAAAAGAGAAAGGAAGGAAAGAGGGAATAGAAGAAAGAGAATTGAATCGCCGAATGAGAAATGAAGAAAGAGAAAAGAAGGAAAGACGATATAGAGGAAAGAAACTTTAATCGCCGAATGAGGAATGAAAAAAGAGAAAGAGAGGAAAGACAGAATAGAAGTAAGAATCTTGCTACGCAGAACGAGAAATGACGAAAGACAAAGGAAAGAAAGAATGGATAGAAGAAAGAGACTTGGATCGTAGAATGAGAAATGATGATAGAGAAAGGAAGAAAAGACAAATATAGAAGAAATATATATATATATATATATATAAAAAAGGTTTGAAGAAGATGTGTGTTGAAAGAAAAGTGTTTTAAAAATACAGTGAAAAATAAAATAGGACTTGATGAAAGAGAAAACGAAAAGAAATGAAGGAAGCAATAAATAAGATGGACGAAAGAGATTGGTTGAGTGGAAAAACAAAGAAATGTGAAAGGCGGGAAAGAGGAACGAAGAATAAACAATGAACGAGAAAGAGCTAGAATCAAATGAAAGAAAGAAAAAAGAAAGAGAGAAAGAAAAAGTAACAAAAAAGCAAGAAAAGAAAGAAAGAAAAAAAAAAGAAAGAAAGAAAGAAAAAAAAAAAAAAAGAAAAAAAAAACAAAAAAGAAAGAAAGAAAGAAAAAAGAAAAAAAGAAAGAAAAAGTAACAAAAAAGAAAGAAAGAAAGAATAAAGAAAGAAAGAAAGAAAAAAGAAAGAAAGAAAAAGTAACAAAAAAGAAAGAAAAAAGAAAGAAAGAAAGAAAAAGTAACAAAAAAGAAAGAAAGAAAGAAAAAAGAAAGAAAGAAAGAAAAAGTAACAAAGAAAGAAAGCAAGAAAGCAAGAAAGAAAGAAAGAAAGCCCCCCCCTCCCCGAAAAAAAAAAAAAACAGGTGAAAAGTAGATTGTAGTCACTGGCGGGACAACGGAGCCGGTGTTAGGGGACAACGCCAGCATCGGCGACGTCGGGGGCGTTAGCTGGAAGGACACTGAAGCTCTGTAAACAGGAAGTTTCGAACCAAATTACCGAAGAACGCTAGAAGTTAGCGGTCGCCATTGATGAAAAAAAGAAAAAAAAAAAAAAAAACGAAAACCAACATGGCGGTCGAGCGCTGTGAGATGGCGCAAAGATAAAATGCGGATAGCGAGAACGCTGATACTGCAGAGCGTCTCGCATCTCCCTCTCCCCAAACCCCTGTCTTCGCTAAATCAGGGTGGAGGAGATGTCCGGGAAAGTGAAAGGGAGCGTAGTAGGGGGGCAGATTGGAGAGCGAAGGATAAGGAGAACACGGTTCAATCAAGGGGATCAGAGAAAGATGTCACAACACAATGAAATAGACACATGGCACAAGGGGGGAGACACACACACACACACACAAAGACGCACAAAGCACGTGCTACAGATGTACTTTTCTTTTTCTCTTAACCCTTTGGATCATATGGGCAACTGTCAGTGATCCGTTGACACCAGAGTTTATCATGAGCTGTTCTTTTCGGATTTTTACATTCTTTCTTAACCCCTGCTTTTCGTCTTAGTGGATTTATTGCCCTGCTTCGGGTGAAATGTTTTGTTTCAAAGAAATCCGGACAAATATATCACTTCTAATAATAGATACGATGGTCTATCTATATAAATTGAGAATATGGGGAACAAAGAACAGGTACATTGTGGAACAGACACTCACGGGCATTAATCCCTGCAATCAAGGATAAATCTTTGTCTATACTACATATCCTCATAGTCTTCATTTACATTTTCCTCTTACTTTCATAATTCATTCAGTGTGCTACTGCCTTAAGTAATTCATGATCGCTGTATTGGGTGAATCTCTATCTATAAAAGGCAGGATGTGTGTGTGTGTGTGTGTGTAACGAATGCACGGCCGCAATTTTCGACGGATTTGCACCAAAATTTACATGCACATGCAGGAAGGCCAAGACCGATTTTGCATTTCCCAACTCACATCGATAGTGGAAATAATCGATTTTTTTCATGCTTCTACGGCAGTTTTCATGTAGATGGGGCCATTTTGTACTGGCCAGAGTGAGAGCCTATAGCTGGCTGCCACGAATAGGCAGGAAGATTCTATTGGCCAGCGTGAGAGCCAACAGCTGACTGACACGAATGTTAACTAACATGCAAAAAAAATCGATAGCTTCATTCGTCACAAGTGAGACAAATTCAAATCTGCATGGCACTTTACTCCAATTGGCTCATTCGCTTGCTTAAACTCAACGTTGATTCTGATTCCGCAGAACTGGGTTGGGTGTGAAAAAGTATTTGTTGTTAACATTCTTTTTTTCATTCGGTTTTTCCGGTTACGAGTCCTTTTTTAAAGCTGATCGTTTTGTGTTCATTTTGTTTAGTTCTTTTTCGTAACAGATTTAATGTTTAGTATAGAGCTTAGAAAAAAAATTCGCAGTGTGAGATAGGCAAGAAGTAAGGCATGTAGCAACATCAGCACAGCAAAGGGCACTCCTTTAAAGGCAAGGAAGGGCAAAAATATTTAAGTCAAGTGATAGCGATTGTTGTATGAGTCGTACGATTTTTGAATCAAGCACGGGCAACGCCGGCCCATGCTGCTAGTTTTAATATAAAAATGTGGATAGAAGGTTTGGAGACCGTAACACGCACTAGTCGTATCTAAGACAGAAGAAACGGGGGCAGTTAGTGAGTAACTGGCAACTAGTTTAAAAATGGCAATCTTTATCTACTTTTTGTTCTCTCTCCCTAATAGTGTTTTTTTTTTTTCTTATATTCCCTAACGCGCAGTAACACATTGATTGCATCACAGTGGCTCTATTTCCTTGTTTGCGTTGAAATCATTACAAAAATGAATGGTCGAGCAAGTACTATGATTACAAAAAAAAAAAGCCAAAAAACAAAAACCTGTGGAGGACCACGATCGCTCGCCTGCTAAGTTCAAAATTCAAAGTCTGCCGTCAAATTGGTACCCTGTGCTTTTTCTCTAAACATTTTCATGGTAATTGTTCTTTGGTGTGCCGACTTCATGAATTTAAACGCAGTACTAGACTGGAAGTTAGGTCTCATCGTTTTATTGTTAAAATTGTTAGACGTAACGGTGAGTTCAACTGTAATAGTTTCTTCGCTCACTTCTCGCTTGAGGAACTCTCTTCCAACTTCTTGCTTTCTTTTCATCTACAATCTTTAAAAAAAAACTACATCCGGCAGTAAGGCCTCTGATTTGGGAGGTTGGAGGTTTTGAGGAAAGAGGAATTACCTCTTAATTGCTAATCCTGGTTATAAGGATAAACTAAATCCGTCAGCAAGGCCACTGATCGGGAGGTTGAGGTTTCGAGGAGTGTGAAGCCACCACTTAATTGCTAATCATGGTTATGATGATAAACTTCACCCGGCAGCAATGATTCTGGTCGAGAGAGAAACGTTCATGGAGCGGAGACTACCTCTTAATTGCTGATTCGTGATGGTAGCACCTGTTAGGGTCCCAGCTATGGGCATATAGTTAACCCCGAAACAAAAATAAAACTGTATGACAGTATAAAAATGCATTTTATAGTAAACATACATATTAGCAATACATTTTATATATATATATAAAAATACCTACATTTCCTCTCTATAGAATTACCAACAGGACATTTTATCGCAAAATGATCAGCAAAAATCAATTTTTTTTTATATAAAGAAATTACCAACAATCCATATTTATAGTAAAATTACCAACAACGTATTTTTAAGCTAAATAACCAGTAGTGCATTTTATAGTACAATACATTTTATAAAATATCACTAACAAATTTTATCTGTTATTGACAGTATATAATGCGTTCAAAATATATATAGTTGATGCCATAACATTGTGTTCAAAATATTTAGACTGCAGCATTAAATAACAAATTGCGTTTGATATACCACTAAACAAAATCAGTCAACCAACAATACCTATTCATAGTAACATAAGGAAAAATATCTATTTATAGTAAAATGACCAACAGTAACTTTAAATGACCAACAATATATTTTATCTGCAGTTAAAATGCATACGACTGTGTTGATATGCCCATAAATAAAATCAGCCAAACATGAATACCTATTAATAGTAAAATAACTAAAAATATCTATTTATACTAAAATGACCAACAATATATTTTTTATATGGCATACAGTTGACAAATTAAAATAGATTTCAAAATTAAATAAATCATAGAAATAAACAAAATAAATAAACATGAATACCTATTAATAGTAAAATAACTAAAAATATCTATTTATACTAAAATGACCAACAATATATTTTTATGTGGCATACAATTGTGTTCAAATTAAAAATATTTTCGGCATTAAATAACCCATACCAACAATATATTTAAACAAAATCAGCCAAACAGGAATACCTATTAATAGTAAAATAACTAAAAATATCTATTTATACTAAAATGACCAACAATATATTTTATGTGGCATACAGTTGCGTTCAAATTAAAATAGATTTCGGCATTAAATAACCCATAGAGGTGTTGATATGCCCATAAACAAAATCAGCCAAACAGGAATACCTATTAATAGTAAAATAACTAAAAATATCTATTTATACTAAAATGACCAACAATATATTTTAAACTTTTAAATTTGCGTTCAAATTAAAATAGATTTCTTTTGTTAAATAACCCACAGAGGGTGTTGAATGCCCATAAACAAAATCAATAAACAGGAATACCTATTAATAGTAAAATAACTAAAAATATCTATTTATACTAAAATGACCAACAATATATTTTATGTGGCATACAGTTGTGTTCAAATTAAAATAGATTTCGGCATTAAATAAAAAATAGAAATTTTTTTTAACATAAAAAAAAATCAGCCAAACAGGAATAAATTAATAGTAAAATAACTAAAAAATATCTATTTATACTAAAATGACCAATAATATATTTTATGTAGCATACAGTTTGTGTTCAAATTAAAATAATTTCGGCATTAAATAACCCATAGAGGTGTTGATATGCCCATTTTAAAAAATCAGCCAAACAGGAATTTTTATTAATAGTAAAATAACTAAAAATATCTATTTATACTAAAATGACCAACAATATATTTTATGTGGCATACAGTTGTGTTCAAATTAAAATAGATTTCGGCATTAAATAACCCATAGAGGTGTTGATATGCCCATAAAAAAAATCAGCCAAACAGGAATACCTATTAATAGTAAAATAACTAAAAATATCTATTTATACTAAAATGACCAACAATATATTTTATGTGGCATACAGTTGTGTTCAAATTAAAATAGATTTCGGCATTAAATAACCCATAAATTTTGTGTTGATATGCCCATAAACAAAATCAAAGCAAAACAGGAATACCTATTAATAGTAAAATAACTAAAATATCTATTTAACAAAAACCAACAATATATTTTATGTGGCATACAGATGCGTTCAAATTAAAATAGATTTCGGTTTGTTGATATGCCCATAAAACAAAATCAGCCAAACAATAATACCTATTAATAGTAAAATAACTAAAATATCTATTTATAACAAAATGACCAACAATATATTTTATGTGGCATACAGTTGCGTTCAAATTAAAATAGATTTCGGCATTAAATAACTCATAGAGATGTTGATATGCCGCTAAACAGAATCAGCCAACCAACAATATCTATTTATAGCCAAAGTTACTAGCAATACCTAATTATAATAAAATGACCAACAATACATTTTATCTGTAGACAATGCGTACAATTGCGTTCAAAATATTTAGATAGCCCATAGAGATGTTGATATGCTGTTAAACAAAATCAACCAGTCGCCAAGGATCTTTAAATATTCAAATGCAACATCAATCGTCATCTACTGTTGTTTTGAATCCTGTTAACTTATTTCTTTCCCCCTCAATAATATTTTCTCAGTTTCATTCACTCTCAGTATCTCGTCTTAGAGGCTTTGTTGCCATGCGTGTAGTG